AGGACCTGGGGGAGGTGTGCTTGAGGGCACAAGTGGAGGCAGAATTAAGGAAGTCAGTGGTGGTGGTAGGTGTGTCCTGCACCTCCATCTTCCCTCACCTTCTTTTTGGAAACGTGCAGCAAGGGTGATAAAGATGTCCCTTTGCAGACTAAGCATCCACAATATTTCCTTTACAAAGAGCTCTCCTAGGAGGAAGCAGAGCCAGAAAAGATGGCCCCCAAACTCAGGTGTGAGGTGCAGTTTAGCACTCCCTATACTACAAGTGGTCTCAGACTCACTATGTAGCTGAGGGTGGCTTTGAACACCTGATCCTTCTGGCTCCATGCACTACCATACCCAACATCCCAATCCCTAATTTTTTTCTCTCTCCTCTCTGAGTCTCTCCATGTAGTCCTGGCTGGCCTAGAACTTTCTGTGTAGACCAGGCTGGTCTCAAACTCAGAGATCTGACAGCCTCTGCCTCCCCAGTGCTGGGATTATAGGTGTGTCTCACCACAACCAGCTCCACCTCTCTTTCTTTTTTTTTTTTTTTTTTAGTTTTTTCGAGACAGGGTTTCTCTGTGTATCTCTGGCTGTCCTGGAACTCACTCTGTAGACCAGGCTGGCCTCGAACTCAGAAATCCGCCTGCCTCTGCCTCCCAAGTGCTGGGATTAAAGGCGTGCGCCACCACCGCCCGGCATTCCACCTCTCTTTCTTATTTGCTTAGAAAGGATGTCACTATGTTGCCCTAGCTGTTCTGGAACTCTAGGCTTATACAATTCTCCTGCTTCGGTCTCCTGAGTAGCTGGGAGTGCAGGCGTGCTCCACTTGTCTGGGCTAGCATTTCATATTCTAGCCCTTAACAGGAGAACAATAAGCACTGAACACAGGGCTTGCTGTTGGGCTATAAAATGCACACATGTTACTTCACTCAATCATCACGGACAGTAAGAAAGGAAGATGGATATGACCTCCACATTGGGGCTGAAGAAGTTGCCAGGCCCTAGGCTCAAGGTCACCTGGCCAAGAAGTGGCAGAGCTAGAATGGCACTCAAGCAGAGTGCTTGAAGTATCACCAGCCATAATTTCTCTGAGGATCTGCCCACATCCTTGGGTACATTTACCTTTTACATCACTGTCTGTGATACGTTTCAGATCCTTCAGAAAACTCCAGGATGCTTGTTCCAGCGTGTCCTCATCTGTGTGTGGAGAGCAGATATAGAACCCTAGACTCCAGACTCCAGCTTTTCTAGCTCATTGGCTTGCTACTTCATAGAAACTACAAAACCCATGAAGCTATGGGGCAAAGAGAGACCTGGTCAAAGTTGTAACAATTCTTTGCCTTCTGGGAGTTGTAGTTTTATCACACAAGCTTGCTAGGCCCTCTACTTGTAAGCTACAGAGAAAGACTTCATGATTCTGTATCCCAACACACACACACACACACACACACACACACACACAGAGAGAGAGAGAGAGAGAGAGAGAGAGAGAGAGAGAGACAGAGAGAGAGAGAGAGAGAGAGAGAGGGGGAGGGAGGGGGGGAGGGAGGGAGGGAGAGAGAGAGAGAGAGAGAGAGAGAGACTATGTATCCCTGTCTGTCCTGGAACTAACTCTGTAGACCAGACTGACATGGAACTCAGAGATCTACCTGCCTCTGCCTCCCAAGTGCTACTGGGAATAAAGGCATGGACCACTATACCCAGCCACTTTTTTATTCTACCTACAGTCCGTGTCACCCCTAGACTAGGACTTCTGGCCCCAGCCCTTCCTCTTCCAGGCTCCCAAGGTCTGCATCTTGGCCTGCCCTCCTTACCCACGACCCCCATAAAGGAATCTTTATTTATAGGCAGATCCGAGAAGCTCTTCACTTCCAGCTCTACCCTCTTCAAAAAGTTTACGTGATGCTCGGGTTCCAGGTGGCCAGGCAGGTAATTCTGTTCCATAGTCTTTAGTGCAGCCACCACAAACGGGTCACATATGATGCAGGGCCTCGCTGGACACAGGCAGTTGGCAAGAGCTGCCAGCAAGAGTATAAAATGCAGCCCCATGGAGGCCAGAACGCACAGCTTGCCAGCACCGCCAGAGGATCCTTTCACTCCAAACCGAGTGCAGGGGGGAGGGCGCTAAACAGAAGCCAAACACAGTCTTAGAGGATTCCAAAGCTCAATATGAGGGTCTTTGGGATATTCCCAAGTAAAAGGAAATATCATTAATCAAAGACCCAGAGTTGTGAACTTGGACTCCAGAATCTCAAATTTTAGGGTCCTCGTTGCATCCCTGAAAACTATTAAGCCAGATCCAAACTCAAGACTATCTCCATCCTCACCCCATTCACACTTCCAGCCCATGGGCTCATTCCCCAGCTACCCCAAACTCATGTTTTCTTAACTCTGAACCTAAGAATAGATCAACATTTAGACTTTCTAGCCTGGAAAAACTGAGACATCGCAAACTAGACATTCAATAGTCAAACCAGAGAAACCATCAAAAAAGGCCAGGTAGCAGCACATGGAAGGCTAAGTCAGGACCACCATGGCCTACTTGAGACTATGTCCAAGTTAATTATACTTAAAGCTGATACTTAAACCTACAAAAACTTCAGCATGCCTCCAAAGTCATCCTCCTGTCTCTGGGGTACCTGTCTACTCTTCCTCAAGGCTGAGACCCCTAACTTTCGGGACAGACTCTTCTCAGGCACCCCAGTACCTTAAACAACACCCTTTAAAAGCCGCTCTCCAACTCCACGCCCTCGAACGCTAATGCTTCTCCCAGCTCAGTCCAGGCTCTGAGGATTTTTTAAAATAGTTTCTCACGACTAAGAGTAAGATTTTTCTTGGAAGACTGGGGAGAGGAATTTAGGGGTTTTCTACTGACTCCAAAAGTCACCAGTCTTCCCCTCTTCACAAAACACACGGACCACATCCCACGTGTGGGACCCCAACTCCCTTAGAATTATTTCCTAGGACTCTTAGGCACCGCCCAGAAATCCAACTCTTAAGTTTAATTGGACTGCAACAAAGCAGGCCCCGCCCACCCCACATGACGTCATAGGGTGGCAGCCCTTCGTAGAACTTTCCCAGCACCTATGGACCTGAACGGAAGCCACCCGGTAACTTTTCAGGTCTTCGTAGAGCCCAGGTTTCCCACAGGGTGCCCTCTGGCTGACTGGAAACTTTGGTGTCCAGATGAGATGCAGGAAGTGGCTAGTCTTCTAAACTGGGACTACAACTCCCAGAAGGCACTGGAGCATCTCTTTCTTTATGATCTGTCCCACAGCATGGAAAACATAGCTGATAGTGATATTCTTCCCTTCTTGCCTCAAACCCAGATAAGGAGAGGCCTGCATCCAAGCATGGTGACCCACACATGTAGTCGTAGCACTTGGGAGACTGAAACAGGAAGATTGCCACGAATTCCAGGCCAGTTTGGTCTACAGAGTGAGTTCTAGGCCAGCTTAGATTACAGAGACCATCTCAAAATAAGACAAAACATAGGACAGGTCTGGTGGCCAATACCGAAATTCTCAAAAAAAGAAAGGTGGACCACAAGTCCTGCAGCAAGGGTTATCAGATCTGAGTAGGTGCTGTATCCATGAGTCATGAAGTCTCCGGTCGACACACATACACACGCACACACACACATTCCTTTATTGTGTTGCACACTCACACATGCAGTACACAGTCAGCTCCAAAAACATCAGATACATATATTGGTGATGTGGCCCTTTAATTCACAGCCCCCTCTCTCCAGCCTGTACAGGCCAAGTTGGGAAAAAGTACCCAGAAACTCCCTGAGAAGAATAGAAGTTGGTCTTGGAAGGGAATACAATTAGATTAAACGCTGAGTAAACTTCCTCCATTCTTGAAAAACCATCAAGTATACCTGATCTCAGGGAAATGTCCCATCCTTGCTTCAAGCCTGTGCTTCCGTAGGGGCTTAGGCTGAGTTCAGGGTTCTGTAACACTTTCAGATCCTTCACCCTGGATCTTCTCAGAGCCAGATTTAGAGACTTTGTGAGCCCAGGGGTATATCCTTCTTTTCTGTAGGCCTGGTTACCTCTAGAAAACAGACCCCAGATCCCCTATAGCATCCTCAGAAGAAGAAACCTCCTTAATCCTAAAGTTAAGACTAGTCTGTGCAACTCTTTAACATTTGAGCTTTTTTTAAGTTCCTGGATCTTTTAGGAGACACTACTCCTGCAAACGGCTGCATCTCAACAGAGATTCTCTCTCCTCCAGCCCACATTTTAGCCCATTTACTCTTCCCACCCTAAATAAAAGTTTTTGAGGTTTCTCTGGGGCCAAGGAGTTGGACAGAATTCATATGTGCTCAAATTGTCCTCATCTCTCAAACAAGAGGCAGGTTCCTGAAGGGTTCATGTCACCCTGTGTTTCCAGCAGTGAGGTGGTACTGAGCTCACCCTGTGTTTCCAGCAGTGAGGTGGTACTGAGCTTTTGTATCCACCTTCATTAAATTCTTCAGTGTCTATAGAGTGTTGGGAGAGCCCTGCAGGGTGCTGCACAGGAACTGAACCAGGCTCTCAGAAACAGCCTAGAATGACCCCAGAAATCCAGGAGGCCAGCTGGTAAGTCTGGATTTTCTTCAGCCTCCCTTACCTAGAAGCAGCTGCCCAGAGGTTCTAAGAAGGTGAGGCCAGAGAGTCAGGAGAGACTGTGGCTTACAATGCTGACTTGGTCTTCCCCTGACATCAGAAAATGATGTCCTGTTGAAATGTCTGTAAAGCATTCCAGCATTACTCATCTGCAAGTCTGAAAATGAGTGCACTCCAGCTCAGGGACTACCACAGACATACTCCAAAGCATGGAGACATGGATGATGACTTTTGTTGTTGTTTTGTTTGTTTGTTTGTTTGTTTGTTTTTGTTTTTTTGTTTTTTGTTTTGGTTTTTCGAGACAGGGTTTCTCTGTGTAGCCCTGGCTGTCCTGGAACTCACTCTGTAAACCAGGCTGGCCTTGAACTCAGAAATCTGCCTGCCTCTGCCCCCAAGTGCTGGGATTAAAGGCGTGTGCCACCACTGCCCAGCATGGATGGCTGACTCTTGATGAGTCAGACCAATCTAAAAAGACTGTCTGTCTCCCAAGGGTCAAACTGAGCCTGCAGTGGGGACAAGTCTGCATTAATGCCCACCCACTCGGGCAGGAAGGCAGCCTTAGGCCTGAAGATCTTCAGAAACTCCGAATCTGGCAGGGTGAAGTTAGCAAGGTAGACAGTGTCTCCACCTGCCAGGTAGGCAGCCCAGAAGCCAAAGGTGCCAACAGTCATGATGGTGTGGTTACATTGTGTGAGCAGGGCAAAATCCTTCCCCGGTGTACCCTCCTGGCCATTGCCAGCGAAGACCACATCACCATGGGATGTGTCGATGTTTTCCAAACACCATTTCATGCCATTGCTGGTGACCACAAAGATGGGGTCTTTGTGCCGGGCCCGGAACCAATCCATGGCTTGCTGGAGGTAAGTTCGGTCACCCACCACACCCTTCCAGCGATTGGGCATCACCTCCAGATAGTCTCCACGACGCACATGGACACCCACAAATGTGTGAGGGCGGATGCCTGCCGGGCCTATACGGAGCCCACTCAACAGGTGCTGAGCACCTTCCCGTAGGTGGTCATGCAGGGTGAATTCCCTGCGAATCTGTTCCCGGAGATGGTGGAAAAAGGTCCATGAGCAGGGGAAACCAGACAGCTTGAGAAATGGGTCTTCCAGGTGAGAGTACTCCTCTGACATCCAGTCATGTAGGACTAAGTGCTGCCAAGGTGTGAGGCTGTCCACCTCAGGGTCCAGCACTGGCAGGGAGATCCGGAACACAGGGGCCAGAGTGGCATGCATCTCAGGCTGGATGAAGGCTTGGCGGCCATTGAGCTGGGCTAGAGCCAACAATGTGGCATACTGCCCCATCTGGTTACCAAACCTGCCTCCTGGGGTGATTGTCCAAGTCCCAGAGAGCAAGGAGGACTGCTCAGGACAGGAAGAAGAGCCATTGGATGTCTGCAGTGGATGAGGTAGGCATACCATTGCCACTGGGGACCTCAACAGGTGATAGTCTGAACACAGGACAGAGAGAGTTAGACCATTTCGAAAGAAGTTTCTTCCATTCAGGTGGAAAAAGAAGGAGCCGGCAGAGAGCACACAGACCAACAGGAATGACAGGCAGAGCTGTCTCCGGCTGGGAGTCCACATGGCTGTAGGGAGAAAAGGTGAGTTAGAAGGTACAGAGTGGGAGCCACCGAGTCTGGGACTCCTCAGGCTCCGGGGACTACAGTAAGGTCAGGAGCTATGCAAATGAGTGGCTGCAAGACAGGGAGGGCTGGGAACCTCACATCTCACCTACCTTCTGGGGTACACCTATATGTTCTGGGCACATTCTGCCTCCCAGACAGTAGTTGGGAACCAAGGGAAGCCCAGGTAAAGAAGGCAGAGTTTAGAACTGTAAAAGAAACCCCCTGGGTGCTGTATAATTTTTCCTGTGAGACCCGAACAAACATCTGTTCATCCCACATAAGGACCAGTTACGTTCTCAACAACGATTCAACCCATGTCTGGCTTGGTGAGCTTACTGAGGGGTCACTTACAAAAGCTTGGGTGACTCCAAGGCAGCCTCACAGTTAAAAAGCCAACTGTAAGTACAGAAGAGAGCTCACAAGCGCTGCATCCCAGTAGGGGCCTGTGGATCGTTTAACTTTTGATGAACTGGCTTAGTTTCCTGCGTCCTAAGATCTTTGCTCTGACGGGAGGGAAGGGATTCTTGATGAGGAGAAGTTTAGGGTAGCTTCCATGTTTTGAGGAAGATGGGGTTACAGTTAGAGGGGCCTAGATACTCTCATCACCCCTGGGGATCTGGCATCCCCAGTGCCAACTAACCTGAGCTCCTTGCTGGTGGTGCAAACGAATTCTTTTTGCCTGAGCTTCCAGTTCCAAAATGTAGCCTTCATCGGCCGCGCTTGGAGGTCAGGAGCCGGGGCTCCGCTTCAAGCTTCTTTCCTGAATCTGACTGAAGGCTGGGCTCAGAGACCCGTGGGGGGTGGGGGGTGGGGCAGGGTTCCAAGGTGTACAGCCTCCGCCCTCCGGGCAGGGCAGGTAGCAGGAGGCGGAGTCACATCCTACCTGGAGCTGCACCCTCTCCTCCGACCAGGTGGATGGGGCGCTGCACCCCTGTCCCTTCTTCTGGATTCTCTGACTCCACTATGGGCAGCCCAGTTGGTACCCAGAAGCTGCTGTATCCTCTGTATGGACCCGGGGACTAGCTCCCAGGCTGCAAAGCTGGAGCCGGGAGCTCAGGTCCCATGCGCGTTTTCTCCTCTGGTGCCGGGACTTATGCTTCCCTTAGCTAGATGCTCCCGCAGTAGCCACGCCCCAACAGAGCGAAGCCTGGCCACCTGCTCCTTCTTCCAACCCCGCCCGCTGCACTCTCCCGGGAGGATGGAGAACCTGTTTGCCAGCTACTTCAACACAAGTCTGAGCCTCTACTTGTAGCCGCCTACACATCACACTCCACACATTGTCTGCGCCCCAAGTCCCTCCTCTGTGGTGATCCTAAAGTCTGGGATCCAGCTGCTACTTTCTAAACTGGCAAATACAGCAGGTAACTTTTTCTGGCCAGAAGGAGAGAGTTTTTCAGCATTGTTTTTAGACAGGCCTCTAGTGAGGCGGAGACAAAGGCCCTCCCACGATCCCGAGTCCTTTAATTAATTGCGGAGTCGGGCCTGCAGCCTCACCTTGATAGTTTACAAAGACTCAGAAATTCCACTTGGTTGGCCCAAGATTAGATCGGAGTCCCAGGGCCACCTCAGACCTAGACCATTCCCCAGCCTCCTCCCCCAGATACTCCCTGGGGCTTAGGAGTCAGTGCTCAGCCTCCTGTCTCACTCCCAAGAGTCCTTGCTCAGGGTTTCTCCTATAGACCCAGAAATCTGCCCCAGCATGCCTTTGACTGCAAGAAACCATCCAGCTCTTCCCCCTCAGAGAGCTGGATCCTACCCATCCCCCAAGGCATCTGGGGAGCACCTGTGCAGGACAGCGTCTGGTGAAAGAAGCACTAGGATTGCATCAGGGAGGACAGCAGCTGAGCACAGGACCTGAATGCTAAACAGGGGTTGGTGAGGGTGATTGGCCTGTGGCCAGCTGGGAGACTTCCACCTGCTGAGCTGAGGACTCCTCTTACACAGGGCTGATGCAGCTCTCCTGATGATTAAAGAAAGCCTCAGACCCCCAAAGCACCTCGAACCTTAAAATTCAAAAAGCTCAGTTGCTTACACAGAAAGACTGAGGCCCCAGGTTCCTTCTTAGTACCCAGGAGCCAGAACCCAGCCTCCTCCCTCAGACTCAGGAGTGCAGACCCCAGCCTCCTCTCTCAGATCCAGGAGCCAGAACCCAGCCTCCTCCCTCAGACTCAGGAGTACAGACCCCAGCCACCTTCAGATCCAGGAGTGTAGACTTCAGCCTCCTCCCTCAGACTCAGGAGTGCAGACCCCAGCCACCTGCCTCAGACCCAGTAGTGTAGACTTCAGCCTCCTCCTCCCTCAGACCCAGGAATGCAGACCCTAGCCACCTCCCTCAGACCCAGTAGAGTAGACTTCAGCCTCCTCCCTCAGACCCAGGGCCCCAAATCCCATCTTTCATCCCCTGAGATGCTAAGGTAAAGATCCCAGCCTCCTCTGGACTCCAACCCTCCTCCCTCAGACCAAAGAGCACAGACCCCAGACTCCTCCTTTAGATTTAGGAGTGCAGACCCCCAACACTCTTCCCCCAAATCTATGCCTAAGGGTTATTCCATGCCTAATCCTTTCCCCTCAGACCCCTGTTGGAAAGACCCCCCATTGCATCATCCATCCAGGCCGCCCTGGCCACGGTGGAATTCAGGTTCCTGCCAAGTGTGTCAAATATCACGCGTCAGGAGTGGGGAGGGCACGTGGGCGGGCCTGTCTGGGTATAAATTCTGGTATTTCTGCGTTCACCAGACAGCCTTAGTATCTTCTCAGCTGGGGATTCAGCACAGGAGAAACAGGCATTCTCTTTGCCTGAGTCCCTGAACGTGCTCTGCTGGGGCACCGGAGTCAGAAGCCAATTCCAGCTGTCTTGGCTTCTCAGACGCTTCCCAGGGACTCTCCCTAACGGAACACAGCAGTGATGGACCAGATGAAATCTAAAGCTGGGGCCCTGGGACTGTGGGTCCGTCTGCTGCTGGCTGTCTTCTTGCTGGGGGTCTACCAGGCATACCCCATCCCTGACTCCAGCCCCCTCCTCCAGTTTGGGGGTCAAGTCCGGCAGAGGTACCTCTACACAGATGACGACCAGGACATTGAAGCCCACCTGGAGATCAGGGAGGATGGAACAGTGGTAGGGGTAGCACACCGCAGTCCAGAAAGTGAGTGTGGGATGGGGCCTAACGGAGGTGAGGGGACTAGGCTCCTGGGTTCTCGCCTCTGTGGACAGACCCTGAGTGTCTTTGTATTGCCTCACAGGTCTCCTGGAGCTCAAAGCCTTGAAGCCAGGGGTCATTCAAATCCTGGGTGTCAAGGCCTCTAGGTTTCTTTGCCAACAGCCAGATGGAACTCTATATGGATCGGTGAGTTTCTCTCTGTGGTCCTCTCTCAGAGGCCCATGCTAAGAGAGTGTATGTTTAATGCATTCCCCATTAGCTGTGCACCCATTGTCTGTTTGCAAGAGAACACTGTCTTCGAATCTTGACATATGTGAAGGGCAGACTGGCTCTCGGAGAGGCTAAGTGTCAGGACTGTAACCCTGCACCTGACCTAACCTCTCACAGGTCTCGCTCCTGCTGACAGCAGAGCACTCTGGTACCCAAGACCAATAAATGTCATGACTGGAGGTGGCGGGCAGAATGCCAACCTAGGCAGAGAAAGGTTGAGGGAAGATGCTGGGCCTAAACCTGCTGGTCTGCAAGATAGAGAGGGTTGGGATTGGAGCTTCTGATGTGAATGGAGTTGATCCAGGTCTGGACTCCAGGTCTGAAGGAGGAGGCTGGAGCTTGACTCTGAATCCGAGAGAGGAGGCTGAGGCTGGACCTGAATCTGAAGGAGGAGTTTGGGGCGGGACTGTATAGTCAAGGGTTGGCAAATAGAAATGTACTGCGTGCCTGACTGTTTTCCCTGTCCCCCAGCCTCTCTTTGACCCTGAAGCCTGCAGCTTCCGGGAGCTGCTGCTCGAAGATGGATACAACGTCTACCAGTCTGAAGCCCATGGCCTGCCCCTGCGTCTGCCCCAGAAGGACTCTCCAAACCAGGATCCAACATCCCGGGGACCTGTGCGCTTCCTGCCCATGCCAGGCCTGCTCCACGAGCCCCAAGAGCAACCAGGATTCCTCCCCCCAGAGCCCCCAGATGTGGGCTCCTCTGACCCCCTGAGCATGGTAGAGCCTTTGCAGGGCCGAAGCCCCAGCTATACATCCTGAATCTTCCTGGTTCTAGGGATGTTTCTTTTTGAGTTTCCTCTTATTTATTATGGGTATTTATCTTATTTATTTATTTTAAATTTTTTCTTACTTGGAATAATAAAGAGTTTGAAAGAAAAATATGTGTTTGTTAAGAACTAAAATATGTTTCCTGTGTTTCTTTGAACCTGAGACCCTCCCTTAACCTGTCCTTCCCCACTGGGCACCATTCTGGGCTCTGATAAAGCATTCCTGGTACCATGAACTGTGTTAGTGTTTTGAAACTGTTCTTTCTTTATTCTTTTTTCTCTTCTTTTTCTGTTTTCTTTTCTTTTTCTTATTTCTTTTCTTTCTATTGTTTTTTTTTTTCTTTTTTGGAGACAGTGTCTCACTATGCAGTCCTGGCTGGCTTGTAACTTTGTAGACCAGGCTGACTTCAAAATCATACTGATCCACCTGCTTCTGCCTCCCTAGTGCTGGGATTAATGGCGTGCACCACCACATCTGGCTCCTATTTCTAGATAAAGTCGCATCTATAGAAGCTGAGATCTCAAACCTGGGACAAGCAGCTGAGGGCTCTATTTGACATATGAGAGAGGACCAGGTTTTCTCCCAGCATCCCTCAGTCCCTGACTGTTACAGGGCTCTCCTGGCTGGCGTATCTGGGACCCTACCCTGACTCTCAAGCCCAGGGGTTGGGCTACTCTTTCCTTATATAATCCAACAATTGTGGTTACCCCCTCTCTGTACCTTTGGCCTCCTGACTGCTGTACCTGGTACCATCTCTCTC